CACCGAGGATGATTCATATCCGTGTTTGTACCGACTGCTCATCGTCATGTAGCCAATATATTAGGATATAGGAAGCACCACAAATCAACACACCGACGTGTTTGTGAAGTTGCAGCATTTGTAGGTTTTCTTAATTTCGCTAACCTTAGATTAGAAAATGGATTCGGTTATGCTTAATGAGTGTTTGTGTGCAAGTTGGCAGCAGTATAGGCGTGTTGTTTAAGCTGTGCCACCAATGGAATGCTTTGTAACTTATGCAAGAAAAACAGCTGGACATTGTGCTCAAAAACAGGACTCATTCCTCTTTATTCGGAGTGTTTTAATGCACATTTGGGCTGTTGCACCTGTTAAAATGCGGGTAAGTGGCGATGTGCTGTAGGCGTAACGTTAGAGCCAGACTCCAGCCTCTGTGCCCAACGAGGATATTTTATTGTCTTTATTACGTTTTAAGTCGTCTACGTTAAATGGCACGGATTTTTTTAAAAATTATTGGTGAATGTGCTGCACTACTCAGTGGGAAGGAGGCTGCTGCTCCTGCGCGGCCCTGCGCACTGGCCTGCGCACTGGCCTGTAGTTTCCAGGGATACAATAAGAAGACTGGCCATCTAGCGTAATTACACCCCATAAAAAGTATCTACACAACCGATTCATGACTGTCACGGTCTTACGCCTTCACCGTGGTCACTTGGTGGGTGCTTCCAGCAGAGACATTGTACTATATAGAGGCGAGAAGTTGGATTTCCAAAATCCATCATGATCTCCAGTTCCATATAAAGCCTCCACTTCACTGTCATTTGGGGTGAGATACTCTCTGTTGCTGCCGACTAGCTTTTATGCCCATCAGCCTTCCACTGACTGTAATTGACATTTTTGTACCTATTTTTAACCCCAGCACCAGCCTTCACAGCAAGGAACCTCAAAATGAGCCATGGCAGAAATACTCCCCTGAGCTGTGAGGATGCTTGGTCCAAATTATTGTAGTGTTCAGCACAAATTGGTTTACTGTCTTATATGATTCCCTTATGCAGGTTTCTCAGCTCCTTCATTATCACAACAGACATAAATTACAGTACTTAGAAAAAGCATTCACTGGCTATGGAAGCTTTCATGTTCTTACCCCAGTTACAGCTAATAAATCTGAAACAGATAAAGTATTAAGCTGTACACTAGATGGAGTTGACAAGTTTATTTTACTGTTATCATTTTACCTAACTTATTATTATTACTCCTTTTTTCTACTTAGTGCATATTACAATCAGTTCTTTAATTACCTTAAGGCACCCTTATGAAAAATGTTTGTTATGCAGTTTAAAAACAACATAACCTGATGTTTTGTGCTTTTTAAAACTCAAATATGAATATTGTCCAGAAAAATCCAGCAGCAGCCAGGCTGTCAGTTTGACGCTGATATATAAAAATGAGCCTCATGTTATGACACCAAATAGCATGCTAAATATTTGTTGAAAGCAGG